TTGGTGGTTTTGGCATCCTGTTTTAGGCTGTTGCCTCTTCAGGATGTGGTTTTTGTTTTTGTGGTGGTTGGCTTCTGGTTTGTTTTTTTTTTTCGTTGATCCACTGGTGGAGCTGAACCAGGACAATCAGTGGCGAAAGGCTTTGGTCGGTTCTTTTCAGAATTGTTGTCTAAAATATTAGTGTATTAGTGATTATTAAATTAGTAAATGTAGAAAAGTGAGATATTAATATATGTATAAATACATGCATTAATATATTATGCAATTAGTAATTAGTAAATATGTTATGACGCGGCGCGGGAGGGCAGCTGCGGCTGTATCCTCACAATAGACAGGTATCATTTGCAAGTGGGATCGGGAAACCGCAAAAAACCAATCCCCCCTGTCTAGGCAAGCTCGAAGTGAGCAATTTAACTAGGAATGCGACGGAAATAGAGGGGAGTTTCCTCCTGTATGTCAATGTATTCATCAGGGAGTTCGTTACTGGCGAGTTGAAGTAGAATAGCGGGTAGGTGTGGGAGTTTAGGTTTAGGATGTCTGGTGAATACATTGCCGCGGATTGAGCAGTTTTTAGAGTGCGTTGAGCTCTGAGGTTTTGGCCCAGGATTATGCGTGTAGTATAACTTCTGCTCAGAGAGTGTAGTCTCTCATTTAGCTGCTGGATGTTAGATAATTGATGAATGAGGGCTAAAGGGTAGTCGCAACGTTTGCCATTCACTCTACGCAGAAACTTCCTCTCTAGTCTAAGTAAATTTTCTTTGACAGCTTTTGGCATTGTAGCGTAAATATTGGATCTGTATTCAAAAATAGGTCTAATAAAAGCTTTATAGGTGAAAATTAATGTACTAGGGTGTGCGGCCCCGAAATTACATCTCAAACTATTGAGGAGACCCAGTCTGCCTCTGGCCTTATTACAGGCTATGTTCAGATCAGCCCTCCAGCTTAGTGTTCGAGTGAACACCACACCGAGGTACACAATCTGATCACGGAGCTGAAGTCGGTCTCCCTAGAGCGTGAGATAGTTTCTTTCGTTAAAGGAGGCCGCACGTACGCTGTGTTTTGGGTGTCTAAAGAGAATCATTTGAGTTTTGTTCGGATTCAGGGATACTCTCCATCTGAGTGGGAATGACCACTTTAACATAGTAATATGCCTAAGAATTATTGAGCAGGCCTGGTTAGGTGTTACAACAAGGACCTTAACCTCTGCATCGAAGGAGCTGAGGCCTGAGACTGTAAATGAAAGGACCTACGAAGGACTGAAACCCGAAGTGTCGGTGGTAGATGAGATTGTTTCTCTTGAAAAATCCATGTGGGAGAAAGTTGCAGAGTTCGTGGATAAAAATCACCCCGAAAAAGTTACAACTGGTCGTGCATCGATATTGTTCAACGAAACTTGCCTAACACGTTTCCGCAATATTCTGTAAGGGTGGAAGATACAAACCTCCTTGGACAGTTTTTTAAACGATCTGCAGATGAAAATGAGCACTGTGACAAAAAAGCGAAGACCACTGACGAAAATTAAACGCTTCCGTAAGTACTTGTGTTTTTCTTATGTTTTCACAGTATATGTATGTATTTTTGTTACTTATAATGTTTCTTCTTTCAAAGACAATTTTCTTATTTAAAAACACTTATCAAAAATAACAAACGTGTTTTTTGGGGACTGGAACGGATTAATGGCATTTCAGTTAATTTCAATAGAGAAAATTGCTTTAACATAGGAACAATTTGACACACAAGCAAGATTACGGATCGAATTACACTCGTATGTCGAGGTATCTCTGTATAGGCTTTCGGTAATGTTGTATACTGCGGTATGATAATGTATATTATTTAACTCGCTAAATATAGAATGGATTACAAATCTCAATATCAAACCATATTTATATTTCTGTAAGATTTAGTTCTTAGCTTATTTGTTTTTATTTTATATACATCATTTATGTGTCACAAACATATCGTGTGTTTAAACGGAGCTTTTTTTACTGGAAAAATATAAATAAAAAAGTTTATTTACTTTTCAGTTCTAATAATTTTTAAATGAGGACTGAAAATAAAATCAGTCAGGGTAAAAAAATGAAAAATTGCCAAACACATAAAAAAGAAAGGAATAACACCAGCTTTCCGAACAAATAACAACCTAGGCAAATATATTAAAAATAACAAGAGCCAAAATAAAAAAACACTTAAATAGTGGTGTGTACGAACTTGAATGTGGCGACTGCCCAAAAACTTACATCGGTCAAACTGGTAGAAACTTTGATAAACGAATAGCAGAACATAAAAGGGCTTTCAAGAATAGAAAAACAGATTCGACATACGCACTTCACCTTCTAGATCATAATCATTCTTTTAATGACAAATTTAAAATTCTTCACATTCAAAATAAAGCTTAAGCTATCTTTGTTAGAATCTATGGAAATCAACAAATTAAAAAACACAGATATAATTCTGAATGACCAACTTGAGACAAACAGTTCTCCCCTCCTCAACCTATTTCATTAGAGACTATAAATTTGTAAACCCAAGCCAAAATAGATCACTTGAGAAAGGCAATCAGCCGAAACAGCTGTAGTGATAATATTTAAAATAAATTTTGTGGAAGTTTGAAAACAAAGTTTTCAGTGTTTTATTGTTACAAAAAAAAATGAACCATTGGTTTTATATTTTTAAACATATTATAATATGTTTAAAAATATAAAACCAATGGTTTCAAAACCAAACTAAACAAAAATCAATACGTAACACAAGCATTCATTTATTGCGCAGTCAGATTTATCACTACTAAATAATGCCGAAGAATTTGTAGCCAATTATAAATTATTTCAGTTCATAAACTTATTGCATAATAAAATGTAGGTACAAACTTTTTTTATTTCCCGTAAAGGTGTGCTGTTCCAAAAATATGCTGGTACCATCATTCATTATAATATCACGTTTGTGAAATATGTCTAAAGCCATTTTTATGTTTTGAAAGACCTTGACTGGTTTATTTAACATCTGAATATTGTACCTGAATTGTGGTATTGCTATATATACAAGATGATTTATAATAAAAAGTAATATATAATTTCATTGATTAAAAACTACACATGTGTTTGGCAGTGTTTAATCATTGATGTGGCTTTTCTTCTCCATTGTATTCGCTTGATTTCCATTCAGTATCAGCTGGAAGTGTTCCCTCCATCTTCCCATTATTGTTTTATCGTCTTTTATTATTGTTCCTTCCTTGTTCATTATTTGTTTTAGTTTCGTTTCTTTGTTGCTTCTTAGGGTTTTCAGTGTTCTATAAAATAATTTTACATTTTCTGTGTTGTTTTCTTCCATTTTTTCTCCGAATTTTTCCCAACTTTTCTTTTTCTCTTTCTTAACTATCTCTTACACTTTTGTTCCTTGTCTCTTATAATTTTCATATTTTGGTTGCGTTTTGTCTTTTATGTATTCTTTCCATAACTTCTTCTTTTGTTTTATTTCTCTTTTAACTTCATCGTTCCACCAAGATGTACGTCTCCCTCTGTTGTTATTTCTTGTAGTTCCACATATTGATTTAGCTGTTTTTATAATCGCATTTTTAAATTTTCCCCATTCTTCTTCTATTGTTTCTGTTGTTTCATGTTCATTGTCCATCTCTTTCTCTAGCCCTTCTGAGTATCTTAACTTCGTTGTTTCTTCCCTTAGTTTATAAATTTTTATTATTTCTTTGTGTTTTTTGTTTATGTTCTTATTTCTTTTTATTTCTTTTCTTTTGCATTTGAATGTGGTTTCTAGTAGATAGTGGTCACTACCAATTTCATAACTCCTTTTCACTCTTACGTCTCTTATCCAGTTCTTCTCTGTTTTTGTACTATAGTATAGTGTATAATAGATTGTTCATCTTGTGATTTGACTTCTCTTGTGATCTTGTGTATCTTTTTATGTTGGAAGTGTATGTTCATAATCACCAGGTTATTGTCTAGACAGAATTCGAGTAGTAATTCTCCATTTTTGTTTATTTTTGCCTCCCCATAAGGCCCGATGACATTGTTCCATTTTTCTGCTTGTTTTCCCACTTTACTGTTCATGTCTCCTGTGATCACAATTTTCTCTGTACAATCATTTATCACTTCTTGTAATTTGTCCCAGAACTCATTCTTTTCTTTTTTTGTTGCGTCTTCATCTGGTCCTCAGCATATTATTAGGTTTGTATTGGTTTCCTCTGTATCCATATCTATGTCTACTCTTAGTATACGTTCGTTGTAATATATCCAATTTTTTACTTTGTTGATACTGTCCTTCTTTATCATGCACGCTACCCCTGCCTGAGCTCTCTTCGTTTCTTCCACTCCACTGTATATTAGTAACATTCCGTTTTCTAATATTATTGATCCTCTTCCTTTTTTCTTTGTCTCGGTTATAGCTACTATTTCAATGTTATTATCTCTAATTTCTTCCCCCAGTTCTATTTCCTTCCCATTTATACCTCTTACATTCCATGATGCCATTTTCAAAGTTGTTTTGTTCTTTTCTGTGTTTAAGTTATACTTCAATTTGTTTTTTTTTTTTTTCGTTTGTGTTGTTATCTTTAAGTCTGCTCATGTTCATGTTCTGTGCCTGTTTTGTTTCTCGGTCTTCTGTCATTGTGTTTTCTTCAGCTTGTTTTTTGAACAAGTTGGTTCAGTATTGTATGTTACTTTTTCTATACGGCTTGTTTTTTTATTCAATTTCCACTTAATGCCTTCAGTAAATATGAAACCATATCCAATTTTTGTCCTTTTCCCATTAGTCTTTTCATCTGCTGCTATCTTCCTAAGGTTTCTTTGTATTTCTAACTCTTTTAATGTTAGATCACTTTCTATATATACTTTATGTTGCTTATACTTCAGTAGTTTACCCTTGGCTTTCAGTATTTTCATTTTATCTTCGAATTTTTTACATTCGATAATACACATTGTTTCATATATTTTTTATACCCTATTTATTTCAGATTTTAGTGCTATTTTTGTTTCTATAAAGTTCTCTAGTTACTCTGCATCTATTGTGTCTATTGGTAAGCCTCTCATTATATGGTTATTTTTCTTCTTTTCTTTCTGACATGCTTCCAAGGTTATTTCTATTTTACCTATCTTTTGTTTCATCGTAGCCATTTCTTGCTTTAGATTTTTATTTTCTCTTATTATTTCTTTCATTTGCAATTTGTATTCACTAGTTTCCTTCGTAATTTCTTTTAGTTCCTCAGTCATATTGCCCATTGTATTTTTTATATCTTCTAGGTTCTTGTTTTTCTTTTTATTGTCGAACCAAGGTTGCTTAGCAAGGTTCTCATATTAGTAAATGCTGTTCTAGCTTGCTCAATCCTGCTACGTGTCTCTATGTCTGGATCTAGATCTTCAGTTATCCAACTACCGAGATATCTGAACTTGGGAACCTTTTGGATGTTCTTGGTGTTTACTCTTATATTTTATTACTTATTTCGTATTCGACTAACCACCATTACCTTCGTCTCGTCTATATTAGTCTTCAAGCCCAGTCGTTCTCCTTCAGTGTTTATTCTATCTATTAGTCGTTGTAGCGCTTCTTGGCTATCAGTTATTGTGACTGTATCATCAGCATAGTAAAGATTACTAATAGTCTGTCCGTTGATTTTGATTCCATCTTCAGTGTCACTTAAGGCTCTATCGAAAATCGTTTCAGAGTAAAGATTAAAAAGGAGAAGTGACAGAACACAACCCTGTCGTACACCTTTTTGATTAAGAAATATGATGTAGATTCCAGTTCTACTCTTACATATACCACTTGATTCATATAAAGGTTCTTTATGATTTTAAGGTCATTCTCATCTATCGACCATTTCTGGAGCAATCTTACTAATTCTGAATGATTAACACAATCGGATGCTTTCTGGTAATCTATAAAGCATAGGAAGACATCTTTTTGCTGATCTCTGCATTTCTGAAGTAGGACAGTTAAGGTATAAAGTGCTTCTCTTGTGCCAAGAAATACAAACAATGGCGACTAAATATTAACTTAACAAAAACGAAATGCATGTGCATTGGAGGAGTTGAAAACTATGAACTAAACTTAGAAGATGGAAATGTGATTTCGCCGTGTTCCGAATATATCTATTTGCGAGCAAATATGGAAAGAAATAAACGCCCTGAAACAAAAATCGAAGAACGAATCATAAAAGGGAAAAAAAATAATAGACGCATCAAACTCCAGTTAAAAATTATCTCTAAACAGAAAGAGATAGAGCTTATAACAGCATTTTTGAAAGCATTTTACTTAACGGATGCGAAACTTGGCAACTCACTAAGAGAACGGAACAAAAACTCCTTGTTCTGGGAATGGATTTTTGGCGCAGATCAGCAGATGTATTCAGAATGATGCACGTAAAAAATTAAACAATAAGATAAATCATGGACAACCCCCTCTGTGGCTCAGTGGTAAGAGCGCCTACCTTTAAACCTAAAGGTCGTGAGTTCGAATCTCATCTGGGTGGAGAAATTTTCGTTTACTAAAAATTAATAAATGAAAATAATTTCTATCGTTGTGCAATCGGTACTCACCAGAGGTACCGCAGACGTTCGGATACAATTAGCGTCTATTAGCAAAGATAATGACGTCGACTTTGTTAAGTATCAAGACAATTACTCTACACACACATTACACTAGGTACCTGACTGTATTATGCCAATGATCATAGTTGTCGAGGCATTAACTCAATAATAAAAAAAAATCATGGACAGAAACACCAGCATCATGGAAGAAATACAGCAAAAATAGCTTATTTGGTACGGACATGTACAGAGAATGATAGACCATGGCCTAGCGAATATATTATTGTAATTGAACAAAGATTATACATTCAAAAAGGTCGATAGCAAATGTGACGCGATGAATTTAAAAAAAAATGCAGATCCAATATAAAAAAGACTAACGAACTATTGCGATAAATCGGGACAAATGGGAAAGGCGTATATTCTTTATACGGATATATATTATTATAACGAGTTATTAATAGATATATTAGATATATAGATTAATAGATGTATATAACAAAGCAATGCCTATGCCTATACTAGCAGTTTGTTTATTAAAATTGTGTTAAGTGCCAAATATCTGAATAAACAACTTCGCATTTTACTGTTATAAGACAGTTTTTATGTTCAGTAGTTTTTTGATATTATATTTTTACTAGATTCTGAAATACATCAATCTTTACACCTATAATATATACAGCATACTTATATACTATTATTTGTCCCTTTATACTCATTTTGAAAATTAAAATGTATCGTCCATTAATCCTAATTTCGTAATTTTATTTCATTTCGGCAGTAAAGAAACAAGACCCATTATTATGCACTTAAATTCCGCACCTGGTTCGCGTGAATACGTGATTCCAGGGAGTTGTTGCTTATAATCAAAGCTTATTAGTTAGTGTTTATAGTCGCTCTGTAATTTTCAGGTAACTCCATTTAATATTTGTTTTTTTTTACGATAGTTAACACGATAACGTAAGCAAAATTTAATACGATCACATCCTAATTTCTGATGGAAACCTCATTTTACAAATAAAACAAATAAATAGGATTATATTTATTCTAAACAATTCATTCTCTCTCTGTAAACTTTTAAGTTGCGTATTAAAAAAATAACATTTTAAAAATTTGTAGCAAGACAAAGACGATTGTCAGAATTTTGAGGTTATAATTTATAGTTACAAGTTAATTGATAGATTTCTACCATTTAAGTTAAATTTTAGTCGTGGTATTATGAAATTGGAATTTACTCTTAAAGTGGACTTTGAATTTATTTAATTTTCACTTTAAAGTGGTTATAAAATCGGGGGTTATTAAATAGGTGATTTTATATTGTTACTAATTGAATGATATTTATGATGACTTTTAAATTTTAACGCTCGAGAATCGTTACGAATCGAATTTTGATTAGTCTTCTTCGGTCCATTTTTCCCAATCCTTTTCCATTCTTCTCTGTCTGTCGCTACAGTCATCCACCTAGAGCCCACATGCTTCTTGATATCGTCTGCCTATCTCATTTGGGGCCTTTCTCTGCATCGTTTATATTCCCACGGTCTCCAACTTATAAGAATTTTGTTTCATCGTTGTTCTTTTTGTTTTATATTGTATCCGGCAAATTTCCATTTCAATTTTGCAACTTCTTGTCTAACATCCCTCATTTTTGTTTTCTCTCTTATCCACTCGTTTCTCTTTTTACCCAGTAGTCTTATGTGCAACATTTGTCTTTCCATTGCTCTTTGGGTCTTCATAAGTAAGAACAGGGAGTACGCATTGATTGTACACTTTGTTCTTAAGATGCTGTCGATATCTTTTGTTTTTAATAATGTAGCTTAGTTTGCCAAATGCCGCCCATGCCAGTCTGACTCATCTTTTTATCTCTGCTTGGTTTTCTTTGTTAAGTTTTATAATTTGACCCAGATATATATAATCCTGAACTTGTTCTATTTCATCTTGCCCGATCCTCATTTGATGTCTTCATCTGTATTTGTTATCATTTTGGTCTTGCTGTAATTCATATTAAGGCCTATCTTTCCAGCTTCTACGTCCAGTTCTTTCATCATTTCAAACAATTCTTCTTTTTTATCGGTTATCAATACGATGTCATCAGCGTACCTTAGATGGTTCAAGCGTTGTCACGCCTCTATTTATTTGTATTGATTTTGTTCCTTCATATACTTTAATTGTAGTTTTGGCTTCCTTATATACACTAATTATGATAAAAGTGAGTCAATCACAAGGATGTTGAGAACTGCCAATAATTTGCAAGATAGTGTTGAATTGTTTAATTTATCCGTGTCCTCGTTCAAGAAAAGTTTAAAGAAATTGAGACATTAATGTTATTAATACTTTTTAAAATTGTAATATATGACTGCAGTTTATATGTTAATTATATGTGTATATTGTAATTTTTGTAAGGAAAAAGGGTTCATCCCGTTAAATAAATGAACAAACAAACAAACAAATATATATTGGCTATTAGTTCCGTATATATGTGGTCAATTCTTCTGTTAATCAAAGATCTTTTCACTGCCCAACGTTCGACATTGTCGAAAACCTTTTCGAAATCTCTGAACGCTAACTGTACTGAATCTCTTTCTAAAACCAGCTTGTTCTTTCGACTGGTATCCGTCGAATTTTGTCGTCAATCTATTAGTTAAAATTTTTGTTAAGAGTTTATACATCACATGAGGAGTCTTATAGGAAGGTAGTTTTTTTATATCTGCTTTATCCTATTTCTTGTGTAGGATAATGGTTACGGATTCCTTCCAATTGTTTGGGATTTTTTTTCTTTTAATATCTTGTTAAAAAGGGAACGTAGGGTATTAGTTACCACTTTTGCACCATATTTCGTCATCTCTGCTGTTATTTCATCTTTTCCAGGCGATTTGTTGTTTTCATTTCTTTCAATGCCTTCTCTATTTCTGATTTTCTTATTTCTTTTGCGAATTTTATTATCGTTATTTATTTACCTGCTTATTTTACTATATTTTATTGACAGATGGATTTTTAATTTTTTACTTTTCATTTAATGTCTGTATTCTATTAAATATTTTTCAATAAATTTTTAATTTAAACCTGCTTAGATTAAATATATGATGACTAGAAACTAATTGATCAAGAGTAGTCAATCGATGTGAAGAACCGCTATTACTAGACGTTTCCCGTTACGACGCCATCTTGTAGCGCTAGTTCCGTGACGCTCTTCTCAGCATTTTACTACAAAGAAAAAAATTAATACAACGCAAGTATAGAAGCCTAGCTTCAAAAACATAAAATTATAACAGAGTTAATACTTGGAATGTCTTTCTTTAATACCAGAAAACATAAAAACTATTTTTACCGTACCCTTTACAAGAAAGGTCCTCTTAACCCCACTGAATATTAGACTGAATCAATAGTTGTGACATTAAAAGAGAGAAAAATCAAAAACCTTTTATGAAATCGAATTTTACCGCCTTCCTTTGTTTGAACTTTAACACGCACATTTATTTTTAGTTATATGATATGTAACAAAGAAATGAAAATAAAATGAAATGTAAAATAAAATCCGTCTTTGTTTGGCGTGTCGAACGGGTAGCCACTGAGATCTGAAAGACCGACATGACAAAATGTGGTTTCGTTCATTTCAGACTTCGGATAATTTCGGCGAGTTTTTTGGTTTTTTATTGTTAGCACTAATTGGAAAACGAGTTATTTTT